AACGGTATTTTCGGGTTTCGTCCAAAAGAGAAAAAAAGGCCAGGTATATGCCGCCATGCCCTGCCCCGCCCCTAAGTGCTCAGCGCTCAGATTTCACTCTCGATCTAGCCGACAGTTATCACGGCGCTACCCAGCAAATGGCGATCACGTCAGCGGTTTGGAAATACCTCAAATATGCCATCTGCACTGTTTATTCCGCAGAAATTTCACGTGGGGGTACAGTGCCGAAGCGCTTCTCCACGACAGGTTTGATATGACCTGTGAACACGATGTCCCGTTCAATATGCAGAGTAAAACAAAACAACAGAATAGAGGCCCTCTGCCATTCTGTGTTCTGCCTGGTATTTCTCATTAAATTGAATATGTAGCGTATTTAAACTTTTTATATTTGCAAGACGCTTGCCTAGAGCTGCTGAGTTCATTACTTGACAGCTGTTGTGCATATCATAATAGTTAATGTTACATTAATAGGATCATTTTTGGACAGTAGACACCAAGTCTGAGAATTGGATTCAAAATGTGATTTTTATTTAACGTAAAATAGTATGATTGTTGATATTGTTGAGGACATTTTTGGGAGCGTCAACACTTGTAGCAATCGGAGGTAACGTCGTAACTGGTTTTGTGGACGTTCCACAACATTACACACAACTATAAATGAGTAAAAATATACGACGTGGTGTTCTTCAAATGAAAATGTATTCGCGTTGGCAAACAGCTGCGGTAGAAGGGGAATGAAGTACTCGTGCTGCTATAGGAAAAGACTTCATCCAGGAATTGATTAATTATTGTCCAATAATCTCATTTCCAGATACATAATGGCAACAAGCTGAATGGAGGCCATTTTGAACTTGAGGGTTAGGGTGCATTGAAAAAGGCTAAATACTGTCAGACACCATAGTAGCGTCAACTGTGTCTAATAATGTCTACATCTTCTCCTCTCTGTAGGCTGCTTAAAGCAATGGGCTGGCAGGAGTATCCTGAGAACGATGACTTCCAGCCCCTCACAGAGGACGAACTCCGAGAGTTCCAGGCTAAGACTGAGCAGGTACACCCACACACTGATGAGCAGAGAATTTGTTTGATGATGATGTGAATTTGACTAAATCATGAATTATTTGAACATCTCGCTGCCATGTCTGATGTGCCTGCGCAGATGAAGAAGAACGGGTTGGTGCGTAACGGTGTGCTCTTGAAGCCGCGTGCTGTGGCGCTGTTTGCCTGGAGGAGCTCCACCAACACCGGCCTGGATGAAGGCTCCGAGTCTGAGACCAGCAGTAGCAGCCAGACTTCGGACGACGAGGACACCTAACGTGGCTTTAACTCTCCCCCTGTCCTCTTCCTCCATCACTCTCACTCGCTTTCTCTGTCTCTCTTACATCACACCTTACATTTCAAGTGAAAAGAAGAAACTGAGTGAATATGTTGTTTCCATGGACAAGAGCCATCGGTCATATCCCAGTGAGAGAGAGAGAACACTGAAATGACACGTCGTGGGCAATTTGTTTTTCTTTCTTCCTTTTCTCTCCTGTTCTCATGTTTTTCCCGTTTTCTCCCCAGACTAGAAATGTCTATCTAAAGCCACACACAAACACACACACACGCACACACACATCCCCCACCAGATCATTTTTTTTTTATTTGTTTTTGCTTGGGAAAAAAAAGACTAACTCATCATAACACCAATTATAACCGTGACTTAACGTGGAATATGACTTCATCTGAATGTTATATAAAATGGCTTTGACACCTTTCTCAAATATATATATATATTTTTTCCTTTTTGCGAAAACAATTCGTAGCATTAGTGTTGAGACGAAACAATCATTGTGAGCCTCTAACAGCGGCGTTGGTCCCAGTCCCTCATAGAAATGAACACAAGCCAGCAAGAAAGCTCTAAAACGAAAGGAAAGCCCAATAGAAATCTTTTTTTTTTCTTTTTTTTTTTTTGGTATAGTACGGTTTGGCAGCTAAGATCTGAGCCCGTCTCTCGCGTTTGACTCGAACTGTACTGCTTCCACTGGTCTCACTCGGCTTTTTTGAACTAAATGTGAGCAAGCTTGTGAATGTACGATCAAAGTGGCACGGATTTGACATGTAGCTCGGGTGAGAGTTTCTCGCCTAGCTTTTGACAGTGGAGATGAGTTCATTATGAAAAAGCAGTAATAGAGGAAAGCTTCACTGACCAATGGGTTTGGTTGTTTTTTTTGGGATATATATATATATATATATATATAAAAAATAATATGAGAGATCTCATAGTCATAAACACATTGTGTGTCAGTTTCATTTGATAGCCAACATGAATCTGATTATGGGCTTGCAGAATTTCAAATTGTTCTGTGACGAGGTCAATCCCAAAGAGTTATCTTTAAATATTCTTCAGAATGTTGAGATTAAGCTTCTTCCAAGTCAGCCATGATATTTAATTGGTTTCAGTGTTTGCTGTTGCAGGGGGAAAAAATCAATAAATGAATACAGATTTAAACCATAATTAGAGGGAAATGCAGCCTTCTCAAGCACATTTGAATCCACTGGCACGAACTTATTATATAGTGAATGATTTCTTATTGGCTTGTTAGAAAAGAGCATTTAGTCCATAGAGCTTTCCTCTTGGCTCTGACTTGTAAAAACACGTTCTGTTCATAAATGTGTTTACGAGAACTCTAGATGCTCTTCTGTCTGTGCAGCTGATAAAAAATGTAGATGCCCATCTGCAAAAGTTCTATATTTCATGAGGGACTGCTGGTGGAAATTATGCATCTCCATTTTTTTATTTTTATTTAATTTTTTTTTTGTACCTTGTTTTTGCTGATAGGGTATAAAAAGGCTTTATTACCGATTTAAGTTTCTTTTTTATGTTGGTACAGCTGTAAAAAATCCCACATAAATAGTTTTTTTTTTTTTCCTTCTTCTTTTGTTTGCATTATGTCGTTCCTGCAGCCTTGATATTCAGGGTGGATTGTAAAAAAAATATAAGAATAAAAATTGTGAGTTTTGGAAGATGACGATTATTTTGTTAACGTTATTCGCAGATAATAAGGTGTCGTGTATGGGTTTTATCTGTATAAGACAAAGCAAAGAAAACAACTGCGGCTTGGAGAGGGGTGGGCGGGAATGAAGAAAAAAATTGTAATAAATATTTTGCACCAATTTGCCAAATATGTCTACCATTTGGTTTTCTGCCCAGGTGTTTGCACATTGGAAAAAGAAAAAAAACATTAATTATAAAATAAAATCAACTCACAGTGGACAAATGAGGACATTGTATTAAGAGCAGAATATAAGAACGCTAATCTTGTGCGTTAATGACATATGAAGTGTGTGTGTGTGTGGTAGTGACTTCATCAGTTTCCTTTGTTAAATTGAATTGACATGGTAACCGTAACCAACAAACAAATAATAACCAGCTGAGAGAAATGATCGGTGAAACTGAAAACTAACGGCAGCGCACGCACCGACAGGTTAAATAACGTCTGTAAGCAATCTGAGTGAAGGTTGATTAGTTTTTGAGAGAGGCTGAGATGGAACACTCTGGAGAGTTCAGCTGTCCTGATTGTAACATGGTGTTTCGCTCCTCTGGACTTTTGGACAAACACATGTCCCGGTTCTGTATAGGAAGTGCCATAGGAGACCCGGCAGTGTTAAGGAGAGGACGAGTGGAAATCATTGAGCCTGGGAAGGTGGATTTGAGGGTATTACGCCCCACAAAAACAAAGACTCCTGATCTAATCCATGTAAGTCAAACTGATGGTATTTGAGTTATATGTATATGAGTGTATGGTGTTAGTACAGGCCTACTTGTATTAAGTTACTTTCTGAATATCAGTGTATTAGTACTGAAGTAAAGCTGGTTGCATGTTTTGCAATAATACAAATATAAAGTTGAGGTCATAAGTTTACATTCGCCTTGCAGAATCGGCGAAAAGTTAATCATTTAATTAAATAAAAATAGGACGGAGAGATCATAAAAATTGCTTTTAGTTTATTTAGTACTGCCTGAAGAAGCTATTTCACATAATAGATGTTTCCATATAATCCATAAGAGACAACAATAACTGAATTTACACAAACAGTTGAACAGTTCAAAAGTTTACATACACTCAGTTTTTAAGTCTGTGTGTTTTTACCTGGACGATCAACGACTTTTTTTATGTTTTGTGAGAGTTCTTCATGAGTCTCTTGTTTGTCCTGAACAGTTAAACTGCCCACTGTTCTTCAAAAAAATCCTCCAGGTCCTGCACATTCTTTTTTTTTTCTTCCCCTGCACATTCTGCATGTTTGAGGCCTTTCCAACATCGATTATATGATGTTGAGGTTGATCTTTTCACACTGAGGACGACTGAGGGACTCGTACACGACTAGTACAAAAGGTGCAAACATTCATTGATGCTCAAGGAGACAACACGATACATTAAGGTGGATGTAAAGGTTTGAACAGGATGATCGGTGTAGTTTATTTTGTCATCATCTGGGAAACATGTACATGTCTTATGTAGCTGAAGGGCGGAACTACATGAAAATAAGATCTCTAAGATCTCGTTACGAACACTGCAGATTCTACAAGGTGTATGTAAACGTATGACCTCAGCTGTATCATTCCACTCTTACTCATTGTCTCCTAAAGACTGGACAAGAAAAAGCATAATAAGGGAAAGGTAATTTTTGAAATGGGCATAAATACCAGTCCATATTTTCGTCAGATTTTTTTTAAAAACCATGTTAACTATCATGAATAGTTTGTTGAGCAAAACGATCCCTTTAAACTCACACAATCCTAGTTATGGGAATCCCAGCTCATGTTATTTGGCTCAGCTGACCAACAGGAGTCGACTCTTTTTATTTTGTTTTTAAAAACCAAAGTGTCCAATATTTTCATCAGTGATTGTTGTTCTCTTCCTAAGTATACTGAATTGTTAAATGAAACATTACTCTAACTTCTAAGTAATGAAATACTGTGCCTTGCAATTGATATTTTTGTGCAATTTAAGTAATTGGGGTGTACGGTGGTTTAGTGGTTAGCACGTTCGCCTCACACCTCCAGGTGTCCAGGGTTCGATTCCCACCAGGGCCATGTGTATGCGGAGTTTGCATGTTCTCCCCGTGCTGCGGGGGTTTCCTCCGGGTACTCCAGTTTCCTCCCCCAGTCCAAAGACAGGCCCGATTGGTGTGTCTAAAGTGTCCGTAGTGTATGAATAGGAGTGTGAGTGTGTATGTGATTGTGACCTGCGATGGACTGGAATCCTGTCCAGGGTGTACCCCGCCTTGTGCCCCATGCTCCCTGGGATAGGCTCCAGGTTCCCCGCGACCCTGAAAAGGATAAGTGGTATAGAAGATGGATGGAATTTAAGTAATTGTTTTTTTTTTTGTTTGTGAAGCAGCAGTGCAGCTCTCTACTCCTCACTGTAAAGAACATCTCTGATGTTGATTAATTTACACTGCAGGTTCAATCACAAACAAAAGAGCCGACTCATTCCCGAATAACACGTCACTACAAGCAAAGGCGGATTTAGTGATTTGGGGGCTTTCCTTTCAACGTTTTAAGATCAATATTTATATTTTCAGAATACATTTTTTAGCATTAATAATTAAAAATATATTTAACTTGCATTTTTAAGGGGCCTTTGGTTTCTAGGGACCCAAGGCAGTTGCCTACCTTTGCATAGTGCTGTCTCCCCTGACTACAAATCCCATAAAAACTTAGGATCTTAATATGCTAACATCTGTATGATTTTATTGTATGTAATACCAAAGCTCTGTTTAATTCTCCAATCTGAGTAGACAGTTCTATAACTGCAGCTTTTAGAGTAGTGCCGTGTGTAATTTAAACCACAGGCTTATATTAATGTGCTCGGTCTAATACGTCATAGTATAATACTACTATAGTAGTAACTCATTTGTGGGAATTTGTATGGTGGACGCAACACGTAATCAAAACTTAATGATACACAATAAAAGTCTTGCTATTTAACAAAGGAAATGTATAATTGTTTATATGGCCAAGCTTTCTGGAAGATGTTTGTTTAGCATTTTTGGAAGGAGTCTCCAGTGTCAGTGCTTTGTAACAGTATGTTTTCTGCCAAGAGAGAAGGGTTGTTACTGTTTTGTGCTTTCAGGTGTCTCAGTCACATAAGCTTTATCTTATTTTGCCATTAACTTTAAAAGAAAAAAAAGAGACTGGTGAATGAATGACTGTTTGTAGCTGCTATATCATAACTGAGAACAGGAACTCGTCTTTATGGACGTTCTACAACACTGAATGCGTCTATAAATGATTAAAAGTACATTTCTTCATTTACAAATTATGATGTATGATCATCGGCAAATTAATGTGGCATAAGAGGAATAAAACGTGTCAGGGCATGCTGTCCTTTTCCTAAAACACCATGTTATGTGGTTTAAAAATGAATTATTATTCTATACATATGAATATGAACAGCTGAGCGAGCAGAGAAATCAACTGCTAAGGCAGACTGACAGACGAGAGACCTACAGAGAACCCAGCGCGGCTGACTGCCTAACCTGTAACAAGCTCACTCATGAGGTGTGATGTCATCACCTTGTATTTCAATAGGAATAGAAAATTCATATTTTCAATTTTTATCAGTGAGAATTTTGAAAGTCTACACAGTCAAGTAGCTCACGGTAGATTTTTATAAATCCTGCATTTCAGTTTCATAAGCTGAGGATGTCGGTTGAAGAGAGTCTGTCCAGAAGACACACACAGGTCAGTTTTTAATAGTGTTACTATCCATGTGTACTTCTGAAATGGCTGATGGGAAACTGGAAAAGGCATGTAGAAATTACTTTGATTCCATCTTTGTACATTTGAAAACATTTTTGTGGAAATAAACGATTCTGTGTATATATGGGTAATATGGATTTTTAAAGGGATTGTATCCAGGCAGAAAGGGGGCTGATGGAGAGAGGCTTCAGGAAGTGTGTGAACACCATGAGCAGAAGCTGGCTGAAATCCGGTCACACACCACCGAGCTGGAGCAACAGAGAAAGGGTGAGCCTGTATCGCTCTTTATTCATATCGGAGCAACCAGGTTTAAAGATGGAGTCTGTGATTTTAAAATCAGAACATCAGAGAAATTGTGATCTGATGTGGACCATAAACATCCAACCAATCAGGACAATGGAGGCGCCTCGACCAGTCTGCCAGTCAGAGAAAACACGCCACAGTGAAACCAGCTGGAAAGTTATTAAAACTTATGTACCACTTGCCTTACACACAGTCATTAATATTATATTACAGTTAATAATTAAATCATTTAAAGTTAATCATTAATGTAATACAAAACAGGCTGCATTAATAATGCTCTTGAATTCTCAATTCTGATTGGTCTGAAGCTGTTGATTAATTTGACAAATCACACGTTTATATTAGCACACTCGTTCTAATGTTATAATTTTTCATAGTAACAATTTACACAGGGACTTGTAAGGCAGATGCTCAGCATAAACACATTTTATAAACGTGTCTATATGTTGATATGGTGAATTTTACTGTGAGGAGATTTTTATTTAGCATTTATGGAAGGAGTCTCAAGTGTCAGTGCTTTGTAAAGGTAAAGGTTTTCAGATTCTTGGTAACACAACAAGCTGCATTCTTTAGACAACAATAAATGGATAAAAACTATTAAACATGAACTGTGTCCCAAATGACATACTATATACTATGCACTTACGCTATGCACTATATACTCTAGCGTCTAGTATAGGAATTTTAGAGGAATACTATAATCTCTAATTAAACATTTGTGCATCTAGAGATTGAACTGCAGATAGCCCTGGTTGGGCATGATGGAACAGCTCATCTGAAGGAGATGCTCCATGAACTGAAAGAACAGGAAGAGAGAAACGAGGAGGTTCTGTACCGACTCAGCACTCAGATCAATGCACTACATGGGTGAGAGAGATTGAGGAGGGGGTAAGAGAGAGAGAGAATAAGAGTGTGTGAGGATGAGACAGAGTGAGAGAGAGAGTGAGAGAGGGTGGGAGAGAGTGAAGAGGGGGTGAGTGAGAGAGTGGGGGTGAGAGAGAGTGAGGAGGGGCTGAGAGAGAGATGAGCTCAGCAGTTTCCTTGCGTGACAATTTCATTGACATTTGTCCCCTGATTTATTTTAGGATGAAAGATGCGAATGTTACTTCAGACCCACTAGAAGACAGAAGGTCACAACACGTCACCTTTGACCTCATTTCCTCCGTGGATGGCCCGCTCTCCAGCCAGATAAGGTTGGGCTGTGCCTCATAATAGCCTGAATGGGAATAGTCTGAATTAGTTTGATCTGTTTTTACATTAAAACTTCCACTCAAATGATAACATAGTGAGATTTGTGTTGTTTAAATATAAACAAGAAATAAATATTCCATAAATTAGAAACTCTCTTTGAAACTTGGTTGTATGTCCTCAGAGGAGCATGCTTCTTGTTGTCAGATCTTTACATCTAGCGTACATACAGACCGGCGGTTCTGATCCAGAGGTTCTGGCCCACCTGTATGACCTGCAGGCAGAGGCTCACACCCTAGAGCAGAGCAGACCTCCAGCTGAGCACCGGACACGGAAGAAAATACGTGAGTAATGCAGTGTTTGTGCAGCTTTGCTACACCATTTTGTCTAAGCATGAGGAAAACTGTAACTCCTCCTTCCTGTCTTCAGGAATGAAGTCCTCTCATCCAGCTCTGGACACCAGTATTCTGGCAGTGGAGCACGAGAACCAGCAACTGGAGGAGCAGATCCTTAAATTACAGCTAGACCGAGAGAGACACCGAGGCAGAGCAGGTAACCCCTGCAGCTCACAATCTTCTTTTGTTTTTTTTGTTTTTTTAATTGTACAATATCATCTTTGTTGCTTAAATATGATTTCCTTACCGCAGTTCTGACTTGGCAGTCTCATTACTTGAACCCTGACATAACCATACCATAAAAAGTCGCTGTCATGAGTTGCCATGGCAATTTATGTCTAAATGTAATGTTAGTTAGCTGTGATTTATTTTTTTTATAATAACTGACATATTTGATGCTATGACGGCTTATACCATGTTTTTTCTGATCTTATGAATATGGTTCATTATGAAAACTGTCATGGGTAAGGAACAAAACACCACAGGGTGTGCTGTTATAGGAAAATAAACTCCCGAAAGAATTTATTTTCCAATAAGAGCATGTCCTGAAGTGTTTTATTCCTCATATACCACATCAAACTGCCAATGATCCTTTTTTTATGTATTAAAGAACAAGTTCCTGTATATAGTTACATTTAATGTTGTGACTCATCACAGTAACAAGTTAGTTCCTGTTATCACTTACTTTATAAAAGCTACAGTATACACAGTCGTTCCCTCACCAATCTTGATTTTTCTCAACGAAGTTAATATGAAAAATAAAATACAGCTTTTCATGTTACAGCGACACTGCTGCGTGCTTGACACTGGGAACTCTTTCCATAAATGTGGAGCATGCACCAAACAAGTGCTTCAGAATTTGTTGTTACTACATAAATGACAACATATTAGACTGGAAGCTTTCATATAAACCTGCCAATTGAATTTCAGCCGGCACTACTGTCCGAGCTGCTGTTATAGTAAAATAATCATAACCTGACCAATAAGAACTGAGAATTCAACAGCGCTTATTTTAGAGATTTTTAGCCATGGCCACGGAAAATACTTGTTTCCTATTGGCAGATATAGGCTAGATATTTTCTTATACTTATACAAAAATGATCACAGTTCTAAATAAATGCTTGAACGTGGACATTATTGAACCAAGTTGAAATGCACAACAAGAATAAGGCTCCATTACACAAAAATAATAGTATAATATCCGAATGTATCAGAAAGTAACAGGATCTTAACCTCAGGATCAATTCTTTATTTTCTTTCTATTTTTTTTTTTTTTTTTTTTTTTACAAGCTGTATTGGCAGCAATCATAAAATGTTAAAATAAAAACCAAAGTTATTTGTTACCCAAAAATTAAGGTAAGCGACATCAAAAATTAACAACTGGCTCAGTTATTAAGGTTTACAATATGTACTGGTTTTATGATTTGTGGGTCAAAGATTTGA